ACTCTACAATTGGGAAGGGTCCTGGTTAATAATTATGGAGCGAAGAATGTGATTGCTCTGGAAGTAATTCGATTCGAAGAACGTACGTCTTCGATTATCAACCACCAGGATTGTATAGTAATATAAGTAAGTGACGGCAAATCAGAAAAAGTTAAAACAACAAATGAACAGTCATCAGGGGTTAAGGGGATTGAAAGAGTTCCGACATGTCCGCGGTCAGGGTATGGGAGAAAGGGAGAAGAATATGGCAGTGAATTATGCTTATGCTTGGTTACTGTAACGCGTTGTGGCAGAATGCGGGAACGACGAACATCTGAGGCTCAGCTTGGGCCAGAGCAAGTTGAGACTTGTACAAAAGCCTTCTGCAAACATGAGATTGGTTTGGTTAACCGTATGACCACTGCCTCTAACAGCGTCCGCTGGCGCAGGAAGTTGGCATATCTGGTCGGTACTTTATAGATGATTCAAAGTGCCTTGTTGATGTCAAGCCGCTGGCTACTGTCAACCAGGTGGGCCGCAATTGCGCTAGAGATTAGCTGTTTCATATCGTGATCTGGTCAGGCAGGATGGTGCTCGCACATCCACTACTCATTAGGTCACCATAACCTGCTTCACAGAAGCAACTGATGGCTTAGATGCACATTGCAGATGTCTGAAAAAGGAGTCTATCCTTGCCTTCAAGGCAAAGAAATCGAGTGCTTGAGAAAACTAACTCACACATCAAGGGAGATTAAAAAAGCCTGGATGTCGGTAAAGTGCCACATAAATTTGCCTACCCACCCCCCCCCTTTATGCTATTTTAAGAACTGTTATAACCTTGGGTGTGCCTGTGTCGGCACTGGTTATATCCCCCAGTTGTATGTTAGGGAAGGAAGACAGGATAGCAGATAATAAGTTATTGCCACTGTTTCTGCTTGTACATCAACTCTGTGTGTTCGGCAGCTTGTCCTCCTGTGCAGTTCGGTACTTTCTGCACCTCGGTCTTGTCTGCAGCTCGGTAGTGTCTGCAGCTCGTCCTGTGTCCGTCAGCGCGTGTGTTCTGTCGTCGTTCTCGTCTCGGCCAGGAGCAGGTCCCTCGTCTAGGGCAA